AACTGACCTCGATGAAATTACTTATTGTCTCAGTGTTTAAGTAGCTTCGTTATATGTACAAAAGAAAATTGTCTTTTTCTTCCTTCTTATACTTTGCAATATTTTTTTTATTTTCTTATGTTCTTTTAGTTTTAATCTAAACACAACAGTAAGTTCATCACATCGTTATTAATTATATGAGTTATACTGAAAGGTAAGACAACACGCAAATACAAACATGAGACTTTTTTTTGAGATGACACCCTCAAAAATGACCTTCAATTGACCTTCACGTTCAATGCAATTGTTATCAAAAGAAAAATGAGTGAAATTGATATCTAATTATGTTAATTATTAATGTCTACTAATTCATCACTATTAAGTACTACTTATCAAACTGAACGAATATTCAATTTGTCTATGATCGGTCTCCTGAGTCCAATTTGCATTTTATTTAAGCAATATTATTATTATGCAAGTGTCACGAAGCACCCACGATTTTCGTCGAAATAGTCCAGTATTATTTAGACGACAAAATAATGAAGAATACAATACGCATAGTGCAAAACGATCAATTACATCTGGACTAAGAAATTCAATAAGAAGTTTAGCGTCCTGTGCCTCCATAAGGTAACAGTTATCTCTATTTTGAATATTTTGTATGATGCTAATACTTGACGTGATAATTTAGAAAATATTCATTCGTTAGCCTGTACGTCATCTTGAGTGAAATGAAATTTTTCCTAAGTTTACTTCATTTCTAATAGAAAAAAATAGACGAAATAGTTCTGTCTCAAGTTGTTATGCACTGGCTGATTAGCACTCTCATTCTGTAATAAGATATCTATGAATTTCTGACAGGATCCTAGATATCAGGATCTCACTAGCCATGCATCAAGTCCGAGTCGGACTCGAACTCGATGAGATTTTCTCGATAGTATCCTTTTTTTTACACATAGTTACTATTCCAGTGAACACTGCTGTAAAACACGTATATTTTGTCCTATCTGGTAAAACAGTTTATAAAAATCTTCTAATTGAATATAGAAAATAAGTGAGAAAACTAATACTGGAAAAACTGCCGCTGTTAGTATTTCTTTTTGAAGCCGTTAATTAAGTTAATAAAACTGTTCTATTAATGAATTAAAGAGTAATTAAGATTTTTCTTTGTCGAGAACCATTGTATACCTTCGATTTGAGAACAAAAAAATGTTCAAATCCAATTTTGCATCGAATCGTGATCCTCTTAAATCACGTCGTTTTGCTTTAAAAGACCGTTTTTAATGAGCAAAAAAAGCTAATTAGCGTTTCAGCGGCAAGCATCCTAAACTTTCGAACTGGGTATAAAAAATGTGGGAAATTTAATTTCACATCGAATGAGAATCCTCTTATACCACGTGATTTTTTGTTCAGCAATAAAGGCGCTAGTTAGTATGTAAAAGCAGTAATTAGTGTTTCCTCCAGGTGAATCGCATTTTGTAGAATTGGATCTCCTTCTTTTAGAATTCCACCTTTGAAAGTTTTTTCGGTAAAATACGATCTCATTGCTAAACAGTCCTTTCTTACTGATAAATTAGTTTTTATGCTAAAGAAGAGTGAAGATTACTGATCTGAAACTAAATTAGTACTAGTCAAAAAATATCAAGCTCAAACTAGTAAGACTTCTAATGAACCGAAGTCTCAGTCGCGGACTTAGTACATGCCTAGGTTCCACTAGAGTTTCACTTATGTTTACCAGTATTCTAACAAAATCCTAACGAAATCAGGAGTACCGAAAGTCATACGATTTGCTAGAATTCTGTCAGAATCGAAAAGGATCTTAATAAAAAAATGTAATTATTGAAAAAAACTCGCAATCCTAAACGAATCATAACAGAAACCTAAATATTATTAAATATTTATTATAATATTAGGATCTTACAGGATCCTGACAGGAAATATGTAGGAAGTACATAGGATTCTGTCCAGGAATTTGCTGTCGAACAGTCATAGTGAAAGAAAAACAGAGGGTTAGAAATCGAAATATTACCAAAATTTTACAAAAAAAAATTGCTACAGTTATATAGGTTTTTACCTTTTATACTACAGTAGAATTATACTCGAATTCTTTAGTAAATAACATACTACTTTTGAAATTTACAAAATAACTAATGCACGAAGACATGGACTAAAATAATGTCGATCTTGACTTAGATGTCTTTCTTTTAATATAAACATATCTCTCAGTATGTAAAACCTATACGGCGAAACTATAAAATTTTGATAATATTTCGATTTCTAACCCTCTGTTTTTCTTTCACCATGACTGTTCGACAGCAAAATCCTGGACAGAATCCTATATTCATTAGAAGTCTTACTAGTTTGAGCTTGATATTTTTTGACTAGTACTAATTAACTTCTGAATTTGGAAAATTACTTGTACAACTTTCGACTGGTTTCACTCGTATCTCTCAAACCGCTACTAGTTCGTTAAAATAGGTCAGCGATTTTCGTCGGAGTCCTAGTGCCCTTAGGTGTACCGCAGGGCTCAGTGTTAGAGCCACTACTTTTTCTCCTTTTCATCAATCATTTACCTTCGGTCGCGTCCACATCTGCTTCATATCGTTTATTTATGGATGATCTCTTCTCAATAATTCCTTTTCTTAAAACAGATTCTACAACTGACATTCAAAAATTAGTTCAAGAGAAAGTCAATCGTATCGCCACTTGGTATGAGAATAATTACATGGGGATGAACATTGACAAATATTCATGGACAGTTTTTGTTTAGACCCTATATTCGAATGAGATCTATCTTTTTCTCTCAGTAATCAACCGTTGAAAAATTATGCACAGCCCAAACTTCTGGGTGTACGTTTTTCTCACGATCTAAAATGGACAACTCATTCATATAAACGAAACAGATTGATTTTGTAGACGCATGTTAGGTGCTATTAATAAAGTTTTTGTGATGTACCTCCTTCTCTTAAACTACTGTTCTATAAGTCTTGCGTAATTCCTAAAATTGACTACTGTTCTGCACTTTATGACTCTGGTTTTGTCACTCATACAGAGCAGCTGGAAGATGTTGAGCGCTTGGCTGCTAGAATTATCACTAGAAATTTTAACCAGCAAAAATAACAGCCGCGTTCTAGGTAAAAAGCTTGGACTTTCTGATCTGAAAATTAGACTTCTTTACTTTCGATTAGTCGATTTTTATCGTTTACTCAATAACTACTTCTTACTTAGTTTTTCTAACATCATTTCACGTTCCCTTTTATTGAAATTGAAACCGTAAAATCAGCTTACTTATGGCAGACTACGGTTCCTGGAACACTCTACTGAATGATTCTCTAACAACGCTTCCAGCCTACGTCTCTATGAAATTAATTTACGTAGACTTTTACATGTTGATTTTCTTTTTCTTTTTGTTACTTCCAACGTCTTATATATGAACGTCTACTCCATTATTTAAACTTACTTCATTTCTCTAGAGTTATTTTCTATTTTTAGTATGTATATGGGTACACAGCAGGTATTCTCTTTTTGAGGCATTTTGTATTAGCTATGTTTTCTCTACTTGTATTCATGAGTATTCATGACCATTGTGTCAATAAACTAAACTGAACTGAGATTTCCAACTAGAACACGATCTCAACCCGCTAGCAATCGCTATAGCTATTATTGCACCCAGACTCTCGCACTTTCTTATTTTATTTCGAAATAGCTTGTTTGTCATCTCGGATTTCCGAAAAATCGACTTATTCGTTTAATAAAACTTTGTTGCTGAATCTACGTTTTATGTCTCATTTTTTCGTTATAAAAAGTTTATAGCGATTATGAGAACTATACATTCATTCATTCTAGACAAGTTAATTCCATACGAACAGAGAACATCAAAGATCCGAAGTTGAAAAAATGCATTTAGAATATTAGAGAGAAATGAGGATATAATTGTGTCAATAAAATACAAAAAGTTTTCTAATCAATGAAAGATAATTTTTTCAAATCCGACCATAGATGGGAGTTGTTGTTCAGCATGAATTCTCTCATTTTCGCCAACAAAACGCGTATACATGTAATAACATGGCTTCTTTTTCAACTACATAGAAGATCTTCAGCTGATTTAAATATGTAGTAAATTTGTGCCATGTTCTTGTATGACAGAGCTAGGAGAAAAAGAAAAAAGAAAATCAGAATTTCTTCTTTTTAACATTATTAATGGAAAAAAAATTTCCATCTTCTCAGATCTATATAAACATAGCACATAATAACTCGTCCTACTGTGATTTTCCTTTCTTCCCTTTCTTTCTGTGAACCTCCTTTGAATGTTTTCCTTTTATCACATGAATAGGCTATAGTATAGTTATTTTTACATAAACGTGGTTGGTTCAGTGAACAAAAGTTTGATCGTGTCGCAAACTGGAGGGGTGAGTTGTGTGATAAACAACCGTATTTGCAGTCCATTAACTATTAAAGTAATCTCGTAAAAGATAAACTAGAGTGTGATATAAAACTTTTGTGTACAAGTTATTTAGAGAATTTTAGTTGATTTTTGAATGAGAATGCTTTAGGGTGTAACGCATATTTTTTTAGAGGAAGTCGATAACGTAAAATATATATTCCGTCGAAAAGTAGTATAGAATGAATTGGTCTTGTTACAGACACAGATGAATATGCCAAAAAACTAAAAGTTGCGTACTGCCGTAAGTTGAACAATCGTTTATAGTCGATAAATAAGCATATACCATTGAGCAAGTTACATATGTCTTAATGCTTCGGGTCACCCGTCTGACAGCGTAATTACCTTGTTGTTACACACATTACGGTTTCTCCGGTTGATTTAAGCTTTATTAGTTTCAGAGAAAAACAAAAAAAAACAGTAGTGAAGATGGAGCTATCACAAAATAGATAGATAAATAACAGCGAATGGGTTACATTCATTATCAGCATGAAATTAGAAAAATAGAGTGCGTTGTCGCTTAAAAAGAAAGAACAAAAACGGTATTAGATATGTAACGTATAGAAGTCACCTGGACATCATGTTAATGGAAATTGGGGACTGGGTAAGAATCAAAAGAAAATAGTATGATCGCTGGGATTAGAGTATGCAAATATATATTTAAATATTACTGCTTACAGCCATATCACGTTGAATGCATCAGTTTCTTCGGTCAGTCTTTGTGGCTTTTCAGGAAGCTAGTACGTGGTTACAGAGTATGTACGGTGATGTTCATCGGTAGGAATATACGGCTACTGAAACTTGCCATCACCCTATACCAATAACGATAGCTGCAAGGCGGAGTATTGTTCTTCTTCTACATCGTAAAAGCAGAACCGGTTGTACACTTCAATGGAAGTCAAGGTCATAAAAATTAATTACACGACTGAAGAGTGGTCATATTTTTTCAAACGTTATCTAATAGAGTCATTAAGTTCAGAGAAAGAAGAGAGAAAGTATGCTTAGCAGAAATAACGTTATATTTTTAGCGTGAAACAATGTCAATCATTATAAGCACTTTTATATTCAGAACACATTTATATATGTTATTCGCGTGTGGTCCAAGCACTTTCTTATTCGCGGTCATCGTCTATTATCGTTACATTAATTTCTACTTTTTTTTTGTAACGAAATATAATTTTAAACGTATTATTGAAGTTCACTCATTTCACTTTTTTCTTCTCATTCTTTGTGTCTCGTTCTGTCCAAAATGTCAAGTTCATGTTCACATCTATCGGTTTCAATCGACACGACAGATGTATATTGACGTCACTCTTTTTTTGTTCTCTTCTCATATTTAGAACAGGTATATACATATATAGGAGATGTTGTTTGGAATCGTATAGAAAATCATTGATCTCTCTATACCTGTCTGTATGCATACACATACAATCCTTGAATTAACGCCATCAACAACAAAAAAACGCAAAGAAAAAGAAAATCAATAAGAAAAAATGCCCTATCATCATCGAAGTGCCATGTCGTCAATTTCACATGTTGACCTCTGTGTTATCATTCTTGTTTTTTTCTTTCTCTTGCCGTTTTTTTTGAAAAAATTTGATTAACAAAACGGAACTATCATCGGTCTTTTTTATAAAAAGTTCGTGGTGTAGACGGTTGTGAAGCCAGGTGTGTACAGTCTGGTGTCATTATAATTATTAAGTGAAATCATAAAAAAAAGTGACTCGAGTAATTTTTTTTAGTAAACATAACGAAAAAAAAACCATTTATTACTCGATTATTATTATTATATCTAAATGATTCTTCTATATTTAAGTTATATTTGTTCACCTTTTTCAATGTTGTTATACCTATGCCATCTCTGAAATCACGACGAATCTATATACATTACCTAAAATGTTAAATTCATTCCGTCGAAGGTATGTCATAGACACAAATTTATCTGGGAGAATTTTTGATGATGATAATCAAACTGAGAAAAAAAATTTAGAAATTAAACAAAAAAAGATCATTTGTTCATTGAAGATCTAGATGTTTCGCTTGCTTGCTTTATAAACGTTGGATCTAGTTAAATTTGACTACCTAATGTATTGTAGAAATCTCAATTTCAACCTTTGTTCCATGTAACGCATATATTTGTGTGAGATTCTATCTTAATTCTGTTTCTGAGGGTAATTCGATCAGTCATATGGCATATAGTTTTCTAAACTGGTCTTATCCTAGGTCGAAAAAATGTCTGAAACTCTTTAGATTTTTTAAAACTCAGACGAATATAATATGAAGTCTTTTTTCTTGGACACAGTATTCAATACTCAATGTGTGTTAGTTTATTTACATTTTTAATCTTTCAGATATAAAACTGTTATAGATTCTCTGAGTTTTAGGAAATGATTTTATGCTGTTCACAACTTGTTAAATCTTCTAACTATAATATAATTTAATTGATGTGTGTGTATCTTCAAAACCTTTTTTCTCTTTGCTTCACAGTAATTGACACTTGGGCATCGTGAAGACCAAACTTGATCAGTCAAATGATTCCGTATGAGTGAGATAAAATGATAAAATGAAATTGGAGTCTATACTTAGTTTTTATTATAGAAAAAAATAACAAAACGATGATTATAAGAAAAAAAAGCTATATGTTTTTATATCTGTCGAACCTACAACTGTTTGTTAACAAACACTATTCTACTATGGAGCATCGTCTGAGAAAAAACCTTAATCAGTCTCATCTTTTGATTAATCTTCATTATAAACGCCTTACTGGTTGTTGTCTATTGAGAATATTATAAAGTTTTCTTGTTATATTTTAGACGTCCAAAAGCTCGTTTATCTGGTACAAATGGTACTACTACTACGGACGGTACCACTGTTTCTGACCTAAAAGGTGAACATCATCCTAATGTGCACAAATTACAGTCACTTCAAAAACACGATAATAATCGCCAACATTACCACGGAAAACATTCCATACATCGACAAGAAAATACGTCACAAATGGATTCCCCACCAGCGATACCTCCTAGAAAACCGGTAGAAAAAAAGAACAGTTCATGCTCAATGTATTCAACATCAAACAATTCATTGATATGGCAACAAAATTCAAGTGTACAAAATGATAATGAAACATCGTTGAAAATAACAAATAAAGAGGTAAGTCGAATGATTATAGAAGATCATACCATTAGCTGTATATAGATCATTGATTGAACATGCAATGACATTTACCGATCCTTTTTAGTGTGTGTTAAGCAGAATCTAAACGCTTGATCTCACTTGTATAATTCTCACAAAAACGTGATTTTTCAATATTTACAAAATTGATAGAGAGAATAAACTAGTTTAAAGATCAGTTTTTTTTTTTCTAATGCATATTTGACTATCTAAATGTGCGCAATACACTATAGTATATATTGAATGAGACACTCACACTGTATATTATTTTTTTTTTAGTATTCACATACACCTCCAACAGTCCATTCTAAGGTTGAAACATTGAGAATATCTTACTAAATTCTTTATATCCGATATTCACGGGTTATTTCATTCTATGAGAAAGTAACGTAAAATAAGAATGGGCAAAAAGTATAATTGTAATGGAAGGAGCAAGTAATTTTTTTTTTTAACTTGATCTAATTGAATCTTTAACAGTACACCCGTTAACTACTTAATTTGGAAGTGTAAAGTGTTTTTATTTATTTAATTTTCGTCAAATAATAAAATTTAATTTCTATGTTGCTCAGAAAAGCTGAGAAGTTGTTAAAATTTTAATTGCGAATCGTAGTTATTTCTTATCCATCATTTTTTTACGTTATTTTTTCACATAATGAAACGATCTGTTCAATATTGAATTCAATAAGATATTCTTTATGTTTCAAGTTTAGAATGGACTTTTGCAGCTTTATATGAATATTAAAAAAATAAAATGAGATACTAAGTATTTCATTCATTACAGCCTACTCATAAATTTCTTGTTTAAACACACATTTCCATATTGACCTATCATCTTTTTGAAATACGTTGCCTCTATGCCTAATATTTATTTCGTTTATTCTTCTTTTCTTTTTCTTCTGATATTTATTAGAGTTCAGATTTTTGTCTGTAGAGAGATAGTTAATGCGCGTTTAATTATAACGTATAAATCCTCTCAAATAGCTTCGTAAAACAGAATAATGTATGACTCTATTAATCTTATTTCATAGTGTAGAAACTGATCTAAATTTGACTTTAATTTTTAATTTTAGATCAGTACAAGTTTAATGGATTTGTTAGGCAATGCGATAGAATCTCTAAACAATGGCATAAATAGAGATACAAAGGTAAAATTAATAGAAATGTTACAAATCTATTTCTATAAAAATGATATCAGTTGAATTACTCTCGTTGCGTATGAAGTTTATATTTCACATTCGACTAACATAATCGCCAATTCCAGAATTATAAAGTATTAAAATATCTGTTGGTGTGTGTGTGTGCGTGTATAAAGCGGGAATAATTCATCAGCTACTTTGTGCATCAGGTAAATATTATCTGCTTCCCGACAAATGAGTTCTAAGAAATACTTGTGTATTGCTATACAATAATGGGTTATTATCAAAAATTAATTATCTTAAAATTTGAAATAATTATCAAAAATGTCTAGCGTTTTTGCTTGAATATAGAGTTTATTATTGATGGCTTGGCGTATCTTTAACAGCTTTGTGTGTAAACGACCGTTGAGAGCTGACTATAACTGACTCATTCGTTCAAACAACATATGCCTTTTTTTATTTAGACTCTACCAATTTTACCCGTTTTCAATGGCGAAAATGTACAATTTAGTTTGAAAAATGGACGTGCATCTTTATCAAATACGGTAAGAAAAATAGTCAATATCAATAGTCGATGTCTATGTAATTTCATGCATAAATCCTAAAAACCAGTTTTATTTCTCGTAAAAGTGAGCAATAACTGGAATAATTTCAGAAATTAGTCCTATATAGTCTCAAAAATCGGGAAAAAACACCAGCAAAACTCGCTAAATAGTGGTTTTGCATACTTTTTACGTCATTTAGCGCAGTATGAAAAAGATTTTTGTTTTTATATAAAATTTAGAACGATGCTAGAGAGCTTGTGCTGTCAAAGTCACTAATCATTACGATAAAACATGCAGAAAACACTTGATGTGTGTATCCAAAAAGAAGGAATGTTCGCATACTCAATCAAGAATCAATCTACCCAGTGAAACTTTTTGTACCAAGATTTTGATAATTCCTATATCACTGTTTTGTTTTAAACTCTGATTTACATACTAGTGTGAACATTTTCGTACTTCGTATAATTTCGGAATTTTTTCTCGTTTTTCGAACATAGATTCATGCAAAAAACCTACAATTATATACAATGATAAGTTTAAAGGCTATTACTATCATAGATGAAGAGAGTGAAAGTATAAAAAATTTTTACTATAAGACTTTGAAACATTCTGATTCACTTCAATCAAAATTTCCAAGTTTCTATTCCCAAGATTTTGAGTACAAGAGATTCCACTAGAACAACTCATTTAACTCGAGCTCATTTTTCTTACATATGTTCCATTTATCTTCTTTGTTATAACACACTAGTATTATAAAAAAACGTGAATTTGATAGCCTATTTTTCTCCCATAACAGTCTCAATAATATCCTATAACACACTCTTATATTCTCATTTTCATTAATACAGTGCATAAACAATAATGTTGTTCTTTCACCGTATCTATATACTCGATAATTGTGTAGAATTAATGAAAGTGAGTAACTGAACTTTGATATACGTTTTGTTCAATAATTTTAATCTATTAAAGGAAATAATAGTTTAATTGCTTATGAAAAATAAAAATGATGAACCAGCGGCTATGAAAAAGTCAAATAGAAGGGCAAAATGATATAAAATATCATATGAGTTTGGCGGTTCACTTTCTTGTAAAAATGTGATGTTCAGATGTTGAGAAAATATATATACTATTGTAACGCAATTTTTTTTTCATAAAAAGATCTGTCAGGTTATGATTTCTATAAATCAATTAAATGGCAAATGCAAAAACCAGAATATACGATTAAATTAACAAGAGAGAGAAGAAAAAACACTTTAATATAGATAAGAAAAACGCATGTAAAAAATGTTGTTGATAACTTTTTTTTCTCTACATAGCGGTCGAGATTTTGTAACTAATTACAGAATAAAATGTTATGAGCATCGTCTGTATTTTGTATAAAATATGCATTATGAAGATAATGAGAAACGAATGAGATCAACAATTTTTTGTTCGAAAAACATTTCATTATGTGTCTGTGTAGACATACATTGGGTCAAAACACTTCTTTTCATCTACTATTATTTATTCTCTGTCATTTTTGTCGTATATAGTGCTATAATATTCATATTTTCTTCTGTTTTTACATTGTATAAGAATATGTTTTTGTGATGGGGTTAGTTTATTCTGACAAAAACATAAAACTAAAACTTTGATTGTATATCCCAATAGAAAAAAATTGTACTTTTTCTCTCAAAAATTGTTTTTTGATCATTTTATTAATATCATAAAATGATTGAACCATATCTATCACACAAAGACGAAGAACGCTAATATACGCTTTTGTCCGTTTATGTCAACAAAAAAAAAAGATACGTCGTCATCAACGTGCATAGATGACACAACCGACTTGTTCGTAACGGTCGAAAACACCGATGATTATTCGTCAGTCACAACATATAATTCTTCTTTTTTATCACTATCATTTATTTATTTAATCAAACTCAAATGAAATTCGATTTTATCGATCGACATTTCCCGTTGCTCGAGTTCTATAATATAATTCAACCAAATGATGATCATATCGTACGTATTTTTACACTATGAGAATATTGCATTGTAGTCCATACTGTTTTGAGTAATTAATATCAGAAATATATAGAAAGTTGGATCTATTAAGTGAAAAATACAGTCAATATTGAGAGTTCTGACTTCTTTCTTTAGAATAAAATTAAAATGAATAGCAAGAGATGTTTTAGCAAAACCATTAGTTTATTGACCATTCATTTTTGAATGTAATTGTAGAAGATGGTTGAATGAAAATATTGAACTTGTCGAAAATAATCAATTCACTTTTGATCTTCGATAAATCTAATTTTTTTGAGCACTGAGGCTTACCAACATGAAGTTCGACACTTGAAGAGTAACTCGTACTTGTAAAATTTTATGATCTGAATCTATTAGTTTCTTGTTTTCGTTAAAATTTTGCAAACAAATAGCTTTCAATGGAGTTTCCATTTCGATCATAAATCGTCATCTGTGTTGAAATTAAAAGCGTTTTTGATACTTCAACTAAGTGACTTGTTCACGATGAAATTTTATAATTTTTTTTTTTATTCCCACTATTATACGTTTTTTTTTAATATTTTCATTTTAATATTAGAGAAACTCTAATAATTTGTATAAAATCATTCTATGATGCCAAATTTTAGCCCTATCTATTGTTCCATTTATGATCGAAATGGAAACTCATGCTGGTAAGTCTCAGTTCTCAAAAGAATTAGATTTACCGAAGATCAAAAAGTGGATTGACTCTTCTGAGGATCAGTCGTTGTAATAGTAAAACACACACATTTAGTTAAATTTTTTAACAACTCAACATTTTATTTAGAGAATCTCAACTTCATCCAGCAATGTTGACAAACTTCGACCAGTATGTGAAAACTCATAATATTTAAAATACCATTATTATGTCTATCAATTTCTTTTAGACTCTAAGTGATGATACGAATCAACAAGGAACAGTATTACTATCATCAAAATCAGTTGATTCTTATTGGACTGAAGATACAGATAGTTCATTAAAAATTTCTTATCCACCCTATAACTTAGAAATTGACGATAAAGCATTTACATATCGAAATTATTTTTCAAACACTGTACGTTTTATACTTTAACTTTATTGTTTTCTATTTTCGTAATAAATATTCATTTGACTTTAGGAACATTCCAATTGGTATGGAAACAGTGAGTTAAGAGGACCAGTAATTATATCATTCAAAACAAATCCACAGAAAACGTTTATAGTTAGGTAATGTACTTTGACATTGCAACTCATGTATCATCTAATCGTATATCAATTTTCTCATTTTAGAACAAAACAACAAACTTACATTCAAACCATTTCTGATACTAACAGTAGCGTAGGACTAAAAATATTGAATAAAATTTGTGAGAACTGTGATATAAACGATGTAGATAAATTTGATCCAATATTATGTGATGGAGTATGTGTATTATATTAAAAGTGACTGATATTTTTCAACTATTGTTGTTGTTTTATTTTGTATTAAAGGCTCAAGAATTACTTTCCAAATATGATGAACATCAAGTATCAAATCAACATAAATTCGGTGTCATTTTTCAACGAGAAGATCAAGTAAGAACTTAATATAAGAATGAATGATGGTATATTATCTTCTTTCTATCTTGTTTCTCTTTCAGTTTACAGAAGAGGACATGTTTAGCAATGAAACACACAATGATCTAATGGAAGAGTTTTTGAACATATTAGGAAATCGTATAAAACTAAAAGACTTCCATGGGTATATAAATATATAGAGGATAGACAATTGTTACTATCTATATATTTTTATTTCGTTCTTTAGTTATCGTGGTGGTTTAGATATAAAAACAGATCAAACTGGCATAGAATCTATTCATGAAGTATATAATAATCATGAAATAATGTTTCATATCAGTACATTTTTACCATATTCAAAACTTGATCGACAACAATTGGAACGAAAACGTCATATTGGAAATGATCTTGTAACCATCGTATTTCAAGAAAGTGAAGAAATATTATTTGAGCCCGAATGTATCACATCACAATTCTTACATGTTTACCTTATTATTACACCAATAGATGATAATAAATATAAGGTACAAATTAATTATACTCGAATGATTGATAAGACTTTTGTCATGTAAAATTTTCAGGTAACGATAAAAGGCCGCGATGGTGTACCACTTTTTGGACCATCACTTCCAGAGTCATCAGTATTTGAACGCGACAATAACTTTAAACAATGGTTGTTAGCCAAACTTATTAATGGTGAATTAGCATGTTATAAAACAAACAGCTTTCAGAAATTACAAGTAAATATAAAATAATTTAGTTTATTTGAAAATAATCTCAACTCTAACAATGTATATTTCTAGGAACGAACAAAAGCGAATTTATTAGAAAATCTATATCGAACATTACATGATATGAATCAGTTATGTATGGAATATTTGTTAACAAATAGTCAATATAAATTTGAACAAGAGCAACAACAACAACAACACCAACAACAACACTTACAAGTTCAATCATCGTCTCTACAGAAGACGAGTGATACTCGTGAAAACGGATTATTGGGTAGTGTACGGAGAAGATTATACCCAAAAATTCGGATTCAAACATCATCAGCTGATACAAAACAAACAATAGTATCGGCAACATCATCGATAAATGGAGATATCGATTTGACACGATCTAAAACAAGAAGTATGACTATGGATTTGAAACGAAGTATATCAAGAGAATCAGTAATAACAAACAATCCCAATACAAATAATACATCATTAAAAAATGCCTTTTTATTCAAGGTTAGTTAGTTAGTATTTAAGGATCAAATTAATGCGTTAAAAAATTTCATTTTTTCTAGAATAATAATTCACGAGATAAAAATTCAACACCGAATACACCTACATCACGATTTTTATTACCAGAGAATGATTTGGCATCTATCAGGTAAATGTCGATCGGCTTTATATCAAAATCAATGTTATGTATCATCTCTTCTCTCTTTCTCCATTAGATTGTCTCCGTCTTGTCTCTCTTCACCGTTCGAAGATAACGGTCATCATTTTAATTTATTTGATAATGAATTGTCACCGAATAATAGCCCTCCAGCATCTTATAATTCATCATTATTCAAGTTTAAAACAAATGGAAATGAATCCATTTCATATGAAAATGGAAATAATACTAATCGAGATTCGTCGTATCTACTATCATCTTCTACTAGTAAAGTATCAATGGACGAATTTCAAACACAATCGAAAGAAGAATTAATCAAATCTCTAATAAATATGCAACAATTTCATAATACACGTTTAGCCGAACTTGATCAGGTTAGTAGAGAGAATGTTCTTAATATGGTATTAGTGATCTGTTTATTGATAAATCACTATTTTCAATGCTTACATTGCATTGCTTCTTTCTTAAAATAGTTGATGATTGTCTGCTCTATCGTACGACCAAAAGATGAGGATCTCATCATAACATACTCAACAATGATGTCGAGTTCATATAACACATTTTATTTATTTTTGTCTTTTTAGCGTCATCGTAGAGAAATAAAACGTTTAGAAATGCAACTGACGCAAGAAAATTCGATTCAAATTACCGATAGTCCTTGATTCATATATATACATATATATTCAACGTTCAGTCAATTTTCGTCCTCAATTAATCGCAATTTTCCTGATGTGTGTTGTATAATATCATTTTTCCGTCCTTTTTGAATTATTTTTATTCTCATGTGTATAACGATGCATGAGGTTAACCAATCGAAGAATAAATTATACATCGAATAATCAACATACTGGAAGTCTTTATCTAGTTTTATTATCCAAGTAAATAATAAATTCGTCATTATCTTCGAAATGTTAATTAATTACTAAAAAGTTAAATAACAATATGCTTTTACTCTTCTTATTACTTTTTTCATAGTTTTTTTTCTCCTGTGACCTGTATTAATAGATCTGTAATTGCTTATTCTTATTTTTTATTCAAAAGCTTGAATGTGCTTTGTACATAGGTAAGTAATGAGTACTGTTTAAAATTAAATATTTCTTTAAGATACTATCATCTAAAATTTTTCTTTTTATGTGTAATGCGAACTTTTTTCCATGTACATATATATAACTAACTCAGTATAAATACTCAGTTAATTTTTATCAGTGTAGTATATGTTTTTTGTTTCATTTCTACTCTGTATTCTTATTTCCAAACGGCTTTTGAATGCAACGCAAAGAAACAAGAAAAATAAACATGGAATGAAATACTTTAGTGTTTGTATGAACTATGAACTAGTTAAAAAGGAAACCCTTGACGGAAGATATGGATATTAAATGCTGTCCTAGAAGAGTAAGGCAAGTGATAAAGAGTAAAATGCTTTTGGTAAGTGGTAATCATAAAGTACTATGAGCGATTGTTTATAGCATAAAAAGCGACGTAAATTACGTTGATTGTAGTGATTTGCTCCCAGTGTTTGCTTCTCGCTTATCTTAACCACTGAAAACTAAGGCATTTACTTCACTCAATCAAAAATCGTTCATCTTTCAGTTCTATTCTCTAAAAAATGCTAGCATTGTGAATAAACTATTTTTTTTGTCCTTTTCTCTCTCGACTATTCTCGCGATTTTTATTCTCTTTCTGTACTCTATTGGGAAGAAGACAAAAGTTTAGTTACCTGTATTGCAATGTAAGTACTTTTCTTTTGAATGACTCGATGATTTCACAATAAGTCTGTGTTATGTGTTATATGTATATATATCAAGAATAGTAGACGATTTACAGTACCCATTGTTCACTGCTTTTTGAAATAAATCATAGTACGAACGCAAAACGACAAATTTTGGTAAGAGAACCATTTCATAAGAATCGAACTCCTTTGTGATTATGCACTAATTGGACTGAATGTATGAATTGAATTTTCTTAGTTTCATTGCTAAGGAAATCGCACATGGTTTCGATAACTTTATTCATATTTTATTTAGGCACGAAAGCAAAAAGATTTGAATGACTATTCTCTAAAACAGACAGTTCCCTCCAATACCTTAAAGGTTTCGTGGATCATTTCTACAGTTTTAATAGTTTCGCGTTTATTTACTGAATCCCTAAGAGTTTCGTAGATGAAAAGATTTTGTGCTCAATGTACGAAACTAAGAAAGGTTTCGTATTTAATTTAGGGGATGCAAGGAGGGTTCGTAGATAAATACAAAACCTATGTAGATGCGTACGAAACCTGTTTATACTTTGTCTGACAACATTCATTTTGTTTTTCGCTGACAATAGCGATACAGCTCTTCGTTTGCATTGTTATTGTCTATAGCCTTTAGCATCCCCACTTCTTAGTTGCAACATTCCAGTTTCTTCCTATTAGAGATGCATAGCGCAACAATTTTGTCCTTATCTAATTCATCCTCACTGGAGAAAATGACATTATTTCCATCATTTTTTTGTTAATGGTCGACATCGTAAAAACGATGGATGAGTTTTATATCGTATTAGTTACTGTATACGCTAAAGTCCCAACGATTTGTTAATAGTACGAACGATAGTCAATTTTCTATTCTACAAATATCGTTTACATCATACGTTATTGTTTGGTTACATTGCTTCACAGCTTTTTCTATTTAATAACGAAACTGAAAATGGTTATTGACAAAGTTGTAGGCCAACATAGTATGTCTTTTGCGAGCACTTTTCGTCACAAGGATAGTCCGAAAACCGCTGAACATTTTCATCCATATCCTATTCTCTTGGCTTTTATTTTTCGCGTTAAAAAGCGCTTGAATATCGTCAAAAACAAAATTTCTTTCTAACAGCATCGCAGTTTTCATTTTTACTTGCCTTTATTGTTTGTTATTTTTTAGATAACGAAATAACGAACGAACGTCCCATATCTCGCCAAGTTTTGAGAAATCTACTCGTGGTGATCGCTCCGTAACCTTTCTGTCTCGTCCATCGTCGACTCTGGATAAAATTTTCCTGTGACACTTCTTCATCGATCCTCCTGAATCTAGAAAATCTCTGCTAACATAAGCTATTCATTGTTTCATCTTAGTTCATAAGGAGAACCACCACCTTTATTATAAAACTGGATAAAAAAATAAGCTCTTTAGCTTAGGTTCACTTGAGGAAACCGCTGTGTGTGCAATAGATGTAATACGTAACTTACTTAACAAACATATTTTTCAAGTGTGAACTGAAAAGAAATCCGTCCAGCGTCTCCATTTCGTCTTTCGTTAACAAGAAAAAATATCCCTGCGGGGTTCACTTCGTGAAGTTCTTGCCTCGTCATCGCCTCGTGCTTCATCAAGCTTTCAGAAAATCTTAGTAGTGGGACCCGTCCTGTGAAGAGACCTTAGGTTTAGCGGGAGGATCTTCAGTAGGATGAGGTATTGACAATAACTTTTTGTTTTGATCAGAAAATCAACTATACCAGTTGTATACCGTGAAGAATACTCCATACCATACATCACTTCAGAAGTGTAAAAGTTGTTCACATAGAAAAATAGTTCTTTTTCTTTCAAAGTGATTTATTGTTATTATCATTCTTCTTGCGTAAAGCCAGAATTTATCCTATGCTAATACTACAACTTACGAAACAGCCCAACACCATAATAATAGGTTAATATTATAGATGATCAATGATCATCCATTTACTAATCTGTGTTGGTGACCACTATTAGAATTTTCAATTTTTCTTTCACCACTGAGAATTCAACTAATTCGAATCTATTTTCTAGACACGCCAAGGCTCAGTGGCCACACTCAGAGACTTTTCATAAGAGTGTTTGTTCTACAGTTTTCCAAAATTTATCATCGTCTAAGTCGTGTTTCTCTTTTTTATACTGTTCATCGTCCTCACTACTCATCCTTACGCCTTCGTCACTCTAAATATGTTCACATTCCATCTTCGGTTGATGGTTATTCTCCGCAAACGGTACATTCTTCTTTGTTTTATTCAACTATTGCTGATTGAAATAATCTCCCTGAGTCACTTATTCGTCTTTCTTCTTTAATGCCTTTCAAAACAGTTTGACTTCAGTATCTCCTCCAGTGAAACGTTTGTTAGTTAAGAAAACCGTGTTAGTTTCGTCCTTTCTGCTTTTTACCTGCATTTATATGTTCTTTGTTTTTGCTTGTTTTTTTTAAAAATTTGTTTTACTACTGGTTCTAACCTTAGTTGTCTTCTCCATTTTGTTATTTTTTATTACTCTTTTGGTGTTGTTTGGCTTGAGTCTTTGTTATTACAGGTCAGGGACTTTTGATGATCATCACTTTTCGTGAATAAAACAGTCTTAGTCTTGTTTTTAGTAATCGATCAAGTAAAATTATACTAGCAGGAAGAACAAAAATTCGAATAAAGATTTATCAAAATGTAATACTCCTTCTCCTAAGATTCTACAGTTCGTTAAAGTTTGTTTCGTTTATTTGTAAACAACAACAAAAAGGAATAGCACAGGTCTAGGTAAAACAAAGAAAACTACGACGGACAAACAATAGAACCTCTAATTTTTTTTATTTATGTCCAACATAACAAAGAGACAACATCAACAAAAAAACAGAAATGAAATGTATCGAATATATATATATATTAACGTGCATATATATGTTTGTATCGTGCCTACGTGTATTTAAGTGTGATCTATTCACCATACTTTTCTTTATTTTGAGTTAAATATAACGCCAAAAATTCGATTGGTTTATTCGGACGTTCACGAGCTAATTGACTCATACCTTGCAATAATATTGGAACAACAGTTTGATCTAAGTAGGCTCGTGTTGGCAGTGTTGATAATTCTGGTTTACCCGCCGGTTTAACTGGTTCATCATTACCGGATGATTGTTGTTGAGAACCTGTGTTTGGAGTTGCCGATACTTTTGCTGTCGGTGCAGCAGCATTTGTCGTGTTTTCACCTTGCGATTGGGTTAATGTGCCCTGAGACGCTCCTTCATCTTTTGCGCCAACATTTTCGGCCGGCGTTGTACCACCTAGAACATCAGAGAAACAAAAACGTGAAATCTCTATGGCAACACTAAGTATCTACCGTAATTTTATAATTAACAAAAAATGAATATTATAGACTTAGTTAATGTACATAAATAAATGGAAATAATAAAAATATCGTCGGTGATTTGTTTTCAGCTATGATGACGTAAAGTCTTTAGAAATTCGAAAATAATAAAAAAATTAGATATTTCTGGTTTCAACATATCAACTCAAGCAAGCAATTTTGGAAACCTGTTCGATCGAAACTGATTGTAAATTCAGAAAATTCATAGTTGATTACGTTGTACGCAACACTTTTTAATCGAGGCACGTCTTAAAAAATTTTCGTTATTGTTTGCCCAATAATTTTTGGGAAGTTCATGGAGAGAATCAAAGACTAAACGATAATGTGGAATTTCTCAGAAATACTTCGACCAAAAATGTGTTACGTTCAAGATAATTAACTATGGATTGTCTAAACCTACAATCACTTTCGATCGAACAAGCTTTCAAAAGTTTTTGCTTAGGATTATATGTAAGATTCCTGGAAAGAATTCAGAACAAATAAAATAAAAATTCGAGCAGAAAGAGTCTTTGAGATCAGAAAATTTGTCAATAAAGCGGCTGAAAATTCTATTTAATATTATAGAAAAACGTAACCTTTCTCTCTACAGAAAATGGATCTTTACCATTTTGTTGTGATGATGCAACGTTCATTTCCATTGGTTCAGGATTTGATGATTTTTCAGCATCTTCGGCATTAGTGCCGCCATTCACTTGTGCATTATTAGTCTCTTCATTTTCAGCGGGTTTGACAGGTTGGTCTACAGCAGTATCAGCCATTCTATGATCTAATTATTTGTAAATAGTTGAAGATAAAGTAGTTTTATGAGAAAATTTTTTTCTTAAAAAACAAATCTACAAAAGGTATAAGAACAATAAAAGTAAAGGTAATTAAAATTAATTTAGCTTGTAAAGCAGATGTGAAGAATCTACCCATAATAATAAAAAATCTGGAATCAGAAAAATGTCTAAAAACTTCCCATGGTGTCAGAATATTTTCTTATCCAATTATTTTTCAGCAAAAGTTCAAGAAGAATCAATACCATCATTCTATAAAATCCTAGAAAAAAAACACTACTAATACTTTATTCAACTTCATTGTATGTCAAAACACAAGTTTGCATTTATCAAGTAAAGAAAATAATAAGTTAGCAAAAGAAACAACATATAAATCACGCTGATAGGGGTACACGTTCTATTTACGGCATAAAAAAACGAAGAAAGAAATAGAAGAACAAATTATTCCTTTGTTTAAGTCTCCCTATCACTATTGGTCTACAGAAACAAAAACCGATAATAAACAAATAGAAAAGATAGGCCAATTATTAATGCAGTTATGCATCTAAACTACTACACTACCAAAATACTCTATTATTTTTAAAGTAAAATCTCAACTATATCACAAAATAAATGTTAATGTACTGTTTTTTTTAATAAGAGAAGAAAGTAGAAAAGCACATCACGATGGAAGTAACAATGTTTGCTGCTGAGAAATCAAATATGAATATAATAGCTGAAAATGAACACAAAAGAAATGAACAGCTTGGTCTTAAGTAGTTGAGACGGGAAGCTTTTTGTGTCTTGAATTCGAGACAAAAACAGTTTAGTTTGTCACATTTTCATTTAAACCATTTTATGCGTTATTTATTATATTAAAATCTCAAAGAAATTCTATTGAATACGAAAAAAACTTCTTCATTGCAAACTATTTTTCCCTTAAAAAGTGAATTACAGAGTAGTTACCTTGGGGGGGAAAGCTTAAGTCAGTCACAGTCAGATCAAATTAAAATCTCGAAATTATTTGAAAAATATTCTACTTCAATTATTAAATAAGCTTCAGCAATAGTAAAAAAAGATCTATATTTTGACGTGGTCGATGAGGAATCGACTACAGTAATTTTACATGATTTATTTCTTTATGTAATACAATATATTCTATACAATATAATCATTTTCTTCTCTCTAAAAAGCTTTTAACTTTTAACTATGTATGTTTTGTTATAATTATGGATACAATAGTGAATTTACGATAGATGAGGAAATTTTTGATCTCATAACGCTTCTTTTTATTTAAAAATGATTAAGCTGTTTTTTTTTAAACAATTCCCGAAAAATGAAGTTCAAATCACTTTCTCCAAGCCATTAATAAAATCTCTATAACGTCTTTCGGATACATGATGTGATTGTGTTCAGAAATCATTAGATTATAAAATGATGCATTCTGTTGGACTTCTAGACCTTAGCGGTGCCGTGATACCCCCTGAAAACCATCTCAAGTCAAGTGAAGTCATAAAATGTATCATTTTATAGCCTAAGTCAGCGGTGTAACCGGTATCAAAAATACGATACCGGTATACAAACTTCGTACCGATACCGGCTTGTCTTGGTCATATTTTGCCGAAATAAAAATACTTTTTCCTTGTTTCTCTTTAGTGTGAACTTTATTTTATGTTATCAATGGGATAGATTAATCTTTTCACTTTGATTATAGCTGGTTTTTCACACGCTTTTTTTTAATGAAAGCGCAATCCAATTCAATCTTTTAAATTAAGAAGTTTATATAAGCCGAGAAAGCTTTAGTAATTGGAATGAAATTTTAGTGGAAGAAATATGTCACAGATGAACTGAATTTACGGTGTTTTTTGAAAAAAATCGTATCATACCGCAAAATACCAGCAATATCGGCCGATCGATTATACTTCATACTAATGTCGGTATACCGATTGGCGTTATAATTCGTACCGGTACCGGCTGCACCTCTGACCTAAGTATTTCGGAGCAGAACCACGTCTGAATTACGTTATAAAAATTATACTGAATTTTCAGAACAACAAACGACGGTATATTACCAGGAAGAAAAAGTCGAAATTATATAAAATCGTCTGCTAATATCTTCTTTCCTATACTTTGTCTAAATTTGTGTATAAAATATACGTTTTTCATGTGTAGTATGGCAATGACCTTCAAGCTTTCGTAAATGATTCTCTTAACGATCTTCCTTACCTCTTTGAACTTTGGACTACAAAACCACATACACCAGAAAACAAAATTATAATTTAATGTTAAAAGTATAAAATAATGTCAGATGCTACTAAAGGTGGATCCTCTTAAACGCCTATGAAACTTTCATGAAAAGTCACCTTCATCTAGAAGGCTTTTGCTTTGACACATAAAGTATAGGACTTTGTACCAAACTTTGCGTTGAATTTAATGGTGTATTGTGTTTTGATTAATAAATCTTTTCTAGTCAAATACACTAAGAAGAACCCAATTAGATAGGTGATCAGTTTTCATAATGGATCATTTTAGTGTTTTTATTTCTACACCGACGATTTAAAATTAATTTCAAAATAAAATCGACAATTTTCTAGAGAATTAAATTCGCTATCTTTTGAGCAAAATATTAAATTTTTAAACGCAAGTGAATATGGATAAAAATTGAATAAACAAGTGCTTCAAGATTTCTGACCCACCACGTCTGTGGTAACAGTCAAAAAGGTCAATAGAGAAGGTATTAACATACGGCAAACAATATTTAAAATCTTGTTTAGTCATTTTTCATTTGAACTTCTTGTTCATTTCCAACTTTTAGTGATTCGTTACACGTACCTATTTTAACGTGTTATAAAGTACTTGGTCTTTGTTCTTTATAAGTGTATGCCCCAGACCTAGCCCACTATGAAATGTTTAGGCTTTAGAAATAATTAGGCAACTTACCGCTTCGGATTGTTATAATGACACCACCGTACATTCAATACGACTTTTATTTAACCTCCATGTTATCAACGGGAATCAAAACGTAGTAACCTTGTTAGAAATCGTGGTGTATCATTAATGTAATCATCAATAGGATAATAAACGCATTTATGACAGTTTTTAGAAATGAGTTTATATTGCCTTATCTCATCACAGGTTGAAATCAGATAAGGTTTAAAAGAGATTTTATTCCTTCCCCTACGAATTTTTTCGTCTAGAAGTTTCTAGTAAGAGCCATAGGATCAGGCGATCTCAAACTTTACTTTCCGATAGAAAAGCTATTTCTACAAGGTAAAGCCGTTTTAAACGTTCTTCATCCGACAACTTGTATAAAAAATCTAAGAAAATTATCTCATTGAATAAAACGAAGCTGATTGAAAAAGGCATCATTTTTGCTTTGACAGAATCGAAATTAGGTAAGTCTCGAGCCTAGTGTCTCCGTCCTCTAGAGTAGCTTAAGGCAGAAAACTCGGCTCTTAATATATAGTAAAGTGCATCGGTTCTTCTAATTAATATATATGGAACTTGTTGGAACGCTTGATTAGTTGTACTTTAAGCTTAAGACAAAAATTTTCAGGTGTTTGTCTTATATCAAGCGTAGGATGTTTAGAAACAAGAACTGATTATTCTTTAATTGCTGATGGAAAAACGAAGAATTACAGAAGGCATTTTTATCTCAATAGCCATGCATTGGTAGTGCACTGGATGTTCTTAGTTGATATAAACTATTTATTAAGTAAAGTATGATTTCACCATATCTGCATTAAATCGGACAAACCATTATATAGATACAGATAAGGTATTCATATAGTTGAAGAAAAAAATCCATCAAAGTTAGAATTAAGAAAATGAAGCAAACAAAATATATTAAAATATCGGTGGTAGATGTTTCAAAAATGACCCTATGATTTTATGTTGAAACGTTTAGGTTCGATGATATAGCCTAAGACGCATCGATATACCAATTCTAAATGTTCTCTACATACTATCATCAGAAGTAGAGCGAACGCAGATCTTCTTAGTTTATATTTTATAACTTTAGTTGGAATGAGTTTCATGTGTTAACGGTTTCTAGGAACGAAACTAATGCTAAAATGAGTCTTGGAAAATATCTACATGCGATTAGGGCATATCCATCTAAAATCTACCATTTTGTGAACCATCGATAAGATCTATTTAATTTTCCAGAGCTTGTCTAGTTCATTTGGAAAACCTGTTTTCGAGCTCTTGAGTGACGTACATTTCGTGTGGATACTCTCACAGCAAATACAGCGCCAAATTCGATATTTATGTTATTTTTTTATCACCTTAGAATCAATTTTCGATCTATTCTGTACTGTCGGAAATAAAGAAAGCCTGGTTCTGTTACTTTACTTAGACTGGCAGATAAAGATGTTCCATGTGAAGGCCTTGAAATATAAACATCTGAAAATGCAATGGCTTTAAAATATTATTTCAATAAATAATCGAGCAATTCATGAAAATTCAAAAAAAATCTTTGATTGTGGTACGGATTCTTTCTAAGATATTCCTATCATTTCAAATTCTCACATAGTTGACTTTTCATTGTCCGATGGCACTAATAGGTAAAGATAAAACAAAGAATTTCAGTAAATGAGAATACACTCATCGGATTTTCGTCTACGCTTCGAATAATAAGGCTAAAATAAGCATTTGAAGCAGTTTGATAAAGCCGGAATAGATCAAAAGTAAGAAGAAAAATTTTTGTTTCAATAGCAAATTTCTTCAATTTTTCTATTTCGATACGGTCGACTCAAAAACATATCCTGAAAATCGCCATAAACATGTAAAAGCCTACGCAGTTTTTTTCAGACGAAAACTCATAATTTCTGAGAGGGTGTATTTCGTATTTCGAACAAAGTTTGAAAAATTTTAAATATTGAATTTTAACTTGACAGACTTAAACTATACTCCAAATTTTAGCTTATTAGATAGAGTTTGTAAGACTGCATATTTTGAACCATCTTCTACAATGCGAATTGTTTTTCGCCTTTTCTTTGTTTAGTTACTATTGGCAGAAACTCGTAAGAACACAAAGAAACGTTTGAATTTGAGGTTGTGGTAAATGAAAACTTGCTACAGCATCATCAATCTGGTTATTTTAAAAAATTATCAAAAATATTCGCTTAATTAAGTGTAATGAATCGAAAGAATCTTTACCTGTTCTTCATTGTTCATATCGTCAATTTTTGTGTCTTATATCTTTTAGATACTCTGGTATTTTCTTTCATCAATTTTGACTGTCATCGACCATACGTTACCCGTTAAGACGTAATAATATATTTGCAAATCAGAACATATTACCCAGTTTAATTCTGTTTGATACAAAAAATAAGCTTGGTTTTAACAACAACTAGAAAAATGGTATTAATATATACAAACGAAAGTATATCTCGATTAGAGAGAAAAAGGCACATTTTCTTTGCATTGATTGAAAGATCAATCTGATGAAGTATAAAAAATAGGACAACACAACAAAAAAAAATTTAAAAATGAATATAGCATAAATCAAGAGAAGTAAATCAATTCACAGGTAAAATTAGAGGAACAATGCGCAACAGATCATCAAGTAACCCACAATAATCAAGTCAACTATTCCACTCTGCTAACAGTTCTTAAACTAAATAAAACTTGAAAATTGTCATGAAAGTCATTGGTTTTTTCTAACTACCAAGTTTACCGTGTAACATCAACGTTTGTCTACCACATTTGATGCTATTGTTACCGCTGCAGCAATACCCGGTCTGCTCGTTGGTTGTGATGTTACTGTAATATTTTGTTGTTTTGTTTCCTTGTCACCGCTACCAACTACCACATTGTGCTTGCGATTAGGATCTTCTGAGTCATCAGAGTCATAATCCGAACTTGATGAGTCTGACGTACGAACGTAATTGCCTTTGACGAAATGAAATATCCCACTAAAAGGGAAAAAAGGCAATTTGTATTTATTATAGTATTTTGTAATTATCTCTCACGTACTTTTTCTTTGGCATCGGATTCGGAGCATTCATCAACAATTGCTGATAGTATTCTGATTGAATAAAACGTGGATAACTATTCTTTTTAATTAATTCGATAATATGTCTTTCAGCTTCAAGAAAAATATCCCTGAAACAATCCACATGACAAATTAATATTTGTAAGTTCGCTTTTGCTAATGCAATTTTTTACCTGCTTGGATTATGTAATTGCTTAATAATTTTACTTCTGATCATATCATTGATATTGACTTCATGTGGCGCATTCGGGGCCAAATGTTCACTTAAAATTAAGTAAAAAGTGTTAAATATAACGTATTTAAAGCGTCTGATTTCTCTCTTTATACCGATAGAGTATTTCAGCTTTTTGTTTAAGTTGACTTAATGGACACTTCCGTATTTCTTGTACTTGAGTATAAAAATTAAGACTTTCTGTTGAAAATTCTACTTCACAAAATTTCATAAATTGTCGAACACCCGTTTCATCACGCAATAATTCTTTCACCTAAATAAGCAGATAAGAAATTATTTTAACACAAAATGCTAAGTTCTAAAATAATTACATTAAATGACCAACGACGAACACGCAATTGAACAGGATTGTCAACACTAAATAGGAAAAAAACGATATATTAGTGATACACACAAACGGTAAGTATGCGAAAAACGTACAGTGGTGCCAGAACATCCCACATTAACGTATCTTCTGTAATCCATGGGTTCGACGGTTGACAATGTCCAAGAAACGGATCATAATCGGAAAATATTTCAAAATATGCACATAAACTACAAAGCAAGAAAGTCATGCCAATCGTATTGTTGTAAAAAAATAAAAGAGCACTTTTAGAACGACAAATATGGTTACAGTAGATATTATTAGCAATCTTGGCGAACATCGATGGCTACAACAATTAAGTTTTACGACACAAATGTTCACCTCTGATGAGTTTGAGAAACTTTTGTACGAACTCTGTTGCTAAGAGCTTGTTGAAGGTATTCAATCTACAACCCCGGTTAAGTGTGCAAAATTTTGAGTAAAATCAATATTTTTCGCTAAAACTTACTCGTTTTTTTACCGCATCTTCTCGTTTCATCGGCCGATAGGTATACAAATCATTTCGAATGTCCGTCTGTAGGACAGATGTTTCATCAGGCTGAAATGATACACACAGAAAAGAATATTTCTGAAACACATAACAAAAATTGCTCCTAAGAATTACCAATGGTCGCATAACACTCCAGAATGCACGTTCTTGACTGTCAATAATTGTCTTATCCGTTTTTTTACGATCTCTCAAAACTCTAAAAAAATACATTTAACTTTTATTTGATAGGAAAAAATCTTTTCTGTTCTTACTTGAATTGAGATTCGGCTTGCATGGTAACAAAATCCCATTGGTGAAGCAGTTTTTTCTTTAGGTTCTCCAAGACACGCTGAATACAAAGATAAATACCAGATCTGACTACTGTCTCTCACAACTTTAACAAGTCGACCATTCCACTTAACAGACATTTTTGCGTGATTTCAACACGTTTTATGAAATTCATAATTCGTAAGTCACATAAGGTACAGGGTTGCAAAACATTTTACTTTGTAGCTTAAACATTTCTCTTTAAAATGACAGTCAGGCAAAGTTCAGGCGGTGAGTCAGTCAGGAGATACAATACTTTAAAATCAGCCACTTTAGTAAAAAAAAACGATTATTCTTGGATACGTTTCATCTTTTTCCTGACTGTCATTTTAAAGAGAAATGTTTAATGATTCAGGAATTATGATCTTTAGAAAACGTGTCGAAGTTATGCAAAAGTCAGGTGGAATGCTTGGTGTATATTCATCGAAAAAACAAACTATCGAATACACATGCTGAAATTATGGTAAACACTTTGTTTACCAGACAACATCGATAGAATTTACTCACAGTTTCATATTCGTCTAAGCCATATCGTTGATGATCTCTTAAGCTTCGCTTCGTTAAATAAATTGCTGAAAGAAGATGATTAGTGTAAATACCTCACATTATCGTCTTAAAATTACCGTAGTCTGAATTTCCTATTGTCCAATTTGTTGACACCCAGAAATATGGAGCCTAGAGAAAGTAACCATCATTAAAGCAATAGAAATGTCACAATTTATGTTAACAGAAGAATTCAATACCTGAAAACGAAATAATTCACCATCTTCTTTGATTTGTATTGCACCATTTGTTGTTACATGAAAAAAATAACCATATTGGCAAAGTAACGTAGCCAAGTGTAATGCTTCTACTAAAAGAGAGAAACAGAACAAAATAAAATAAACAGTAGCAGAAAAACAGTTTGCAATAGATCTTACAAGGATCTTTTATGTTGAGTTTATCCATCATCCATTCGGTTATATCACTACCCGTGAAGGCATTTGGCACAGTTGTTAAAAATAATTTTTTATTTCGAACTGGGACACCATTTTCTGGATGTTGCATTGCTTTAACAATCCGTTCCATTTTTTGAAATATTATTGAACGAGGCATAGTTTTACGTTGAGTATTCAAGTCCATCATGCTACTCTTAATCAAATATTGTTTTAAAATCTAAAGGTAAATACTATTTAGTAATGTTGTAAAAGCTCGTGTTATTTAGTAGAAAACAGTTTCTACTCCAAAGTCATAAATAAAGTGATCGTAAAGCCAAAAGAATTTTTTGAAAGAAAAATTATCAAAAAATTTCGACGAAACTGAAAATTATCATTGATTTCAAAAATCAACATGTTAACGTTGAATTAAACTCCTGTTCAGTTTACCATCTTTTATTCCGGTATAGAATATATAAATATAGATATGATATAGATGTATCATGGAACACTAATAAAAAAAATTCGTATTAAATACAATTCTAATCGTGTACAAATAACAAAACAACGCACAAAACAACACATCACACAGAAATTTGATTTCACATTAAAAAAAAAGGCTACAACAAAAAACAAAAAATTCTACGCTATTTCTTTTTGTACATGACGAATGCATATAGAATAAATGCGAGAGATAAAAAAAGAAAAGCCCTATTATATATGCATGCGATCAATGCAGAAATAAATAAAATAAACATGACGAAAAAAAAATTTTTTTTTAAAGTTTGATGGTCGTTCGATTAAAATCTTATTGAATGTTAAAAAAAACAAACATCCTACATGATTTTATCGTTCAATCTCTCTGTTCAACAAAAAGTTATACAGTGTATTTGTCAACTAAAAGTTTTGGAAGACTAGTCTATAGTCCTTTTAAAATGAACAAAAATATTCTAAATTAGAAAGTAGTACAAAAACACTTAAACAAAAGCGGTAAGACACCGTGTCGACGGAATGTTTGTGTGTGGCACTTTTGTTCATGGAGTTTGTCTCTCTCTCTCTCTATATATATATCCGACATGATTTTATTGTGTATTCGTTCCACTGTTCAGATGTCTTTTTATTTTTTTTGTCTATCTGAGAATGCAATTTTCAAACAAAACAAAGTATTATTAAAAGAAACATACAACATCAAAAAAAAATTATTTGATTATTGAGCGAAAAAAACGAAAATGCACATACAAAAACACAAAAATTCATTAAAATTCATTTGTTCATTTCAAAGTAAGCATAGTAGTAAATCTATTAGTTGAAGAAGAAAAAGCACAATACGGAAGAACCGTAGTGAAAAAAAATTCTTAAATAGAAAAATAACAAAGTGAAGTAATAAACATATAAAAGAAAAATGTTTTTAAGAAAAAAAGTCGAGTACGTAAGAAATTCATTTGTTATCGTTTAAATATAGAGATTCACGTATTGATCGTGTAATTTCAAAAAAAAGGATTAGATCTTTGTTCAAAATAAAAAATTCTTCAAGTTTTGAAAAATGAAATTATTTTTTCAAATTTTCTGTAATAGCTTGAATTATTTCTTGTTTAGCTTTCTCGATATCTTTACGTACTTCGATTATTATGTCATGCTTCAATTTTTCGATATCGTTTGATGTTAAATTTATTTGTCCTCCTGTTGAAAGTGAATCGGTCTTTCTTGAGACTCTAGGTGACGTAGGAGCAAGTGAAGCGTTTGTCGTAGAATTTGATGTTCCTGCACTAGAAGCCGTTGATGGTTTTAATGTATTCACTTTTCCTGTAGAAGTAGATTCAGCAGCTGGTTGATCTGTACTGGTTTTATCAGAATCGCCTACTCGTCGTCGACGCAAAGCTATTTTCTGTTGCATTTCTGTCATAAGATCCATGGATGGTGGACCTGCCGTTGTACTGGTTTTACGTACAGTCGTATTGTTGTTAGGTGGATTTAATAGAGATTGCTGATCTTTTGCTGCTGGTGCTGCGAAAAGACCACCAGGAGGAGGAGGAGGAGGTGGTGGTGGAGGTGGAGGAGCAGCGGCCATTTTTTGCGGTGATGAAGGTCTTGGAACTGTATTAGTAGTTGTTCGATTATTATTATAAGAATCTGTATAAGAAAATGAATCCGATATTAACGCATAATGATTGTTGGCTTCATCCTCATCGTTTAATGAATTATGATTTGATTGTGACGAAATATGACTATTTGTCGTCGTATATTGTTGCTGTTGTGTATTTGGGGTATAATATGTTGTATTTGATGATGATGAGTTCGAATTTTGACGTGAATGTGTACCGTAATTTTGTTGCTGTTGTTTTTCGCCGGAATTATTATTCAGCAATGGTTGTTGTTTATTTTTGTCATCGTGTAAAGATATAGCAGAGGAAGAAGAAGTATTTGAGGGGGTGACGGGCGGCTGACTTGATTGTCGTGTATTTATATTTGTACTTGTAGAATTGCGAGAAATTGTTGACGATGGGAAGGAAGGAGAAGAAACAGGAATAGAAGATAATCCATTATTATTGTTATTATGAATAACTTCTATCGGTATCGTTGGAATATTATTATTGCTGACAGTTTCTAAAATTTTACCCATACATGTTCCAAACTGATCTGCTTCTGTCTTAGTCATAAAGTTTAAGCCATAGACTGATAATTGATCACGCCATTGATGAAATGTGGGTGTTGCACGATTATATTTGATACCTTTTGTTATCATATGATTTAAAACAACTTCATGATCTTGAATTTGTCGACCTACGATACGATATGTATTTGTATCTTGACAATATAATAACTGAACTTTTGCTGGACCATTTGACGTTGTGGCACATGGTAACCATTTTTTTTGCTGATCATTGTAAATCATAGCTGTTGCTTTACAACTAGTTAACGTTTCTTCATGTGCCAGTTTACTACTACCACCAACCATTATTAGATCAGGCAATTCTTTAGCAGGTAGTATAGGAGAGTTTACTACTGATTGAACTTTATTAGATCGATCTGAACTGTTTGTAGTTGTAGGTTTTGATACAATGTCCGATGGTAATTGTCGATCTATTGGTGGCTAAAAAAAGTTACATTGTTTTACATGCATATAAGTAGTAAAAGTTAAAACTTGTCTTTACTTCTAGAAACTACTAGATCTACAAAAGTTTTTTGGTAGGAGAGATTTTCTTAGCAAATATAGTTATTATTTTTTACTGGTGCAAAATGATGATTTCTTTTACGATAGGGGCAACCGTTTCCATTACTGCTTGTGTTCTACTAAATGACTTTGACGCAGTGGATTAGGGAGGATGAAGTTAACATTACTTTCTTTCCCAAGAAAAACGTTTACTTTGCTGTGTGTCTTATGTTTCAACATAACGCTATAACAAATTTTTTTGACAGATAGGAATGATGAAAAAAGTTGACATTTTGCAAATTGATAAAAAGATATATCTTTATATAGTAGTTAAAACAGCGCGTATTATACCTTTTCATATATCGATTTGAGTGTTTTGTTTAAACTTCCTGGTGTTGTTAGCTGATGTCTCTTTGTCGTGGACATTTTAAATTTATTTTATTAAATAAAAGAAAATTACTCCACTTGACGCAAAAAAATATCAAAGATATTTATAGATATGTATGATGGAATGAGTAAAGTGGTGTGTTGTTTTCTTTTTCTATATCTCAGTATGCATACAGATATACACACACACATATAATTACACAGATACTTAAGGTGATTATTCTTGCATGTGCTATGTACAAACACATATATCAAGAAATATTTTACATTATGTACGATAGATAACTTCTACGTTAGGGAAAACATTATTATTTATTAGTAACTAACACAAAGATGAATATTTTATTCATATCCTTATTCTCTTTATTCACACACACACACACACGTACAAGGACAAATATCATTGTCTTGTAAATTGGTTTTTACAAAGATATTTTGGTATCTTCAGCATACAGGTTTATTGAAGCAGTTCTTTAAAAAGAAAAAAGAAGATTAAGATATGAATCCCCAAAATAATTATCATTTTTTTTTTAATTTATAGCACTAGCATACGTATTTTTTTGATATCACAACAGCTGTGCATCTATTCGTCAAAGATGAAAAAGACCATTATTGTTTTGGACAAAAATACAATATCATTTTCCTGAATTTGTGCATATTTCAACGAGATACAAAGATTGATTACACAGTATATATGTACAATGATGCCGAACGTAAAAAAATGGAAATCAACATATACAATTTTTCTTTCTCGACAAGATTACATATATAGTGTTTGTCAGAGAGCTTTTCAACCATGACATTTAAAATAAGAACTTGGAATATGTTGATATGGCCTTAAAAAGTAAGATCTTAAATTAATCAATTTGCACTTATTTTTCAACTGTTGTCATCTGAACTGTGTTTGGAGGAAATATAGAGAACAATTGCTTTATGTAATACTATTCTTTTTTTATGAAAACTCATTATAAGAAGATATCTCCTTCGTCACCCATTGCGGTTTCTTCTTTTATGATGATAAAAAGAAAAGCAGAAAACAACCAACTGTTTTTCTACAAAAGAAGTCAATCAATTAAGTACAGGGACGATACTGGATGATAAAATTTTTTGTTTGTTTTAAGACACTGTTAGCTCGAAGCTTATTCATCTTAATGAGAGTTAAGATAAACAACGGTGAAGAAGATCTTTTCGCCTAATATAATACTAGAAGAATGGAAAACTGATATTAGAAATAACAATTCCATTACAGACAAGAGTAGAATTTCAATTGAAAGAATGTTCTTTTCAACTTGCTACCAAATTTTTTGAATTCCCAATTGTCTTAATGAGAACATTTATAGTAACGCTATAACAGGAAAAAATGCGCCAATATTCATACATGTCTAATTTCGTTTGAAGCAAGTCTAATCAACTGCAGTCATTTTTATCCGCTTTTTTAAACTATCATTAGTAGCGAAAGATATTCATATCATCGATTATTACTAATACGATAAGAACATTGTTCGTTTTAGTTTGCTGATAATTTAAACCAGAAATAATGTTGAACATTGGTAATTAATTTTAAAGGACTGTAATTGTTTCTTTTCTTTAACAAACTAAAATAACTTTTACAGTGTCATTTATTCTATCCATACTACAAGGAACGGAACAATGATTGTCCTTGATATGTCCTATTAAACATTCACAACTATTCAGTGATATCAATAAACAAAAATTTATATTAAGATGGCATAAAACCACCACCATAGCTACGGATAAGAGTTTTGAACTAACTCTTTACATTTATATCTCTTGTCCTATCTATTTATAAGCTAGGTATATTCTAACTCTCGCAGTTTTATCTTATATCAGAATATTTTTATTTTTTTAACTAAAAGATCAATTTATACAGTGACACGTGCAAAATTATCCCATTCTAGCTAGGAAAAAAATTTAAACGCTTTGATATTTCGATTTCCCTTCTACCTAGTAGAAACATAATAATCCTTCGAAGTTGAGGACGAGAGTTCTAAGAGGTTTAAACAGAGTTCAGTTTCGGTACAAACAGAATATGTTTAGCAACTAAAAAAAAACAACTAAAACGCAAATTCGATTATTTTTTATCGAATTTCTATTTTGTTCCCTCTCATCCATAAATACCATCCCTTCCTATTAACTGTGCTGCCCATTTTAAAACCGCATATTCTTTTTTCTTCTAATAAAACCAAATATGGAGCGGTACGCGATATACTGTCTGACCTAAAAGAGGCCAATTTCTCTGCCAAATTAGATTTAGATGAAGAGCTTAATGGTTTAATCTTCACTAAAAACATTGTCAGTTTACAATTCTTTATTAAGTTAACTTTAAATGCTACCTGTTCTTGATCATTGTTTTCATTATCCAATGTATCTGTGTTTTGTTGATTAATTCTAGTTCCATTGTTTGCATAAATAATAGGTCCTGATATAGCCACTGCCTGCTTATTGTTGTCAACGACTGTGGTAACAGGCGAATTTTTCTTGGAATGATGTGATTTTGAACGAAATGGATTAAAACTACGCATTATTATGCAATTCACGATTTTTATAAATATTTTACTCAATATTCAGATATATTCAAAATTTAACAAACAGGTATAAAAATATATTATAGGAATGTACTAATAGATCAAAATCAATATAGATTCATGGTTGACATACAGGTGAATAGATATAAATAAACATATCTGACGCCAACAAAAAGTATTTTAACATATTTTTTTCAAAAATAGAGAAAAAAAATGATCGATTATGTATGGCAGTTGCCTAGAAAGACGAATGACAGTTGAAAAGAGAGAGGAAGAGAACTTTTTTTGTTTTTTTCAACTCTATAAAAATGGATTCAAAGATTTCTAGTTTTTCGAGTGATATACGTGCAAGCATAATAATTCATTTATATAAATATAATAAAATACTGTTCTAACTTACTAAATAATATGTTAAATAAACTGAAAATACATGTGTAGGCTGATACTTTTTCTGTACTTAAAATAAGACGCAAGAATAGTGTGTATTATATTTTTATGAAAAGTAATTATCTAAATCGAGAATCTCTTTCGTTCTGTAACTAATTTAAAAACTACAACGATTACAACGAAAAAAAAATTTGTGATGCTACATTTGAAAAAAAATTTGGACATGACAAATGTACATTGATACATATTGCATGTGCATCAACGAAAATCAATGCGGACGCGGATCAAGTTGATCCTATCTTTGATTTTCATAAACAATACCACACTTGTTTTTTGCCAGTGTGATATGGCCATCGCAGATTTGAGTCTGCGACAGCGATAAGGGTAAAACAGAAAGAAGTAAAGCGCAAAAGAATACTTAAACTTTCAAGTGCAGAGACTTTACGCGTGGGCTAAAATACAACAGACATCAGTTTTTCTGTAATTTCTAGCACGCGTGCTAAAACAACGCCATAATATCTTATTTTTTTTATAGAAAATCTAGGCGTCTTTTCGTACTGACACATCATTCAGTCAACGAAAATAAATGAAATAATACAATAATATTATAATATTATAATATAATACAATAACATTATATAATACAATAATATTATATATATTATAATATATCCTATTATATAAAAAAATATTATCTGAATACGTCTACTTTTCGAGCAGTAGTACGCTCATATAATGTTTTAGACATACGATAGGCTATAGCCTCATATCTATTCAAGTCGTCTAAAGAATTTTCTGGGAAGAGCACAAGAATCAAGAAGTAGGAGATAAGTCACTTTGTCGACTCATGTTCTCGTCGTTATGTATAGTAAGAATATTAGCTCTGTGCTGATTGTTTTTTTCTGAAACCGGTCTTTACGTGTTTTATACTGTCTTTCTCTGCGTACGACTTAGTGTTTATCATAAAATGTTGATGCTCACAAATACACTAAACGTTTGATAATTCAATAAAATCGGTTTGTAAAGCGCTTTTTTTCAATTTTGTACATGTATGAAGTATTTGAACACAAATTCATGCAATTAAGATGTTGTTGACTCATCTACTAGATGATACAGAGTATAAGTACTTTTCTCAACAGTCATATATTTTCGTTGGCAGTTCAAAGATCATTTTAAACTTATTAGTTTTCTTCACTTGTTTAAATTAAAAATAGCCTTTTATCACCAGTCTTGAAAAAATGACATAATCATCGATGCATTCTACATGCCTGGTTTGGTAGAACTCTGTTCAAAACGTGCAGTAAGGTGTACTGTAAAACGTAAGCATTAGATATATGACAAATCAATACATACCGAAGAATGAGTTTAACAATAAATTATTTTGTTTTTCAAGATGATCAAAGATAGATTAAACATTCATTCTATAATAACTACAGCAACTTCTTTAACTTCACATGGTTGCAAGTTCTAAAAAGAAAATATTTGATAGTGATGGGGTAAATGTATTCCAAAATTTTCAGAAAGTATTCTAAATTATCAGACTGTATACTTCTTGTAGTATAGATATTAACATTCATTCAAAAGATTAACGTACCAAATAGTACTAAGTCGACGGAGACTTTTGAAGGTCGTTGCTAAAATCGGAAATTTAATCTAAAAATAGATAAATAAACAAATAAAATACTAACAAAACAATCACTATATAGTACAGGTAAATTATCAAATTGAAAACGACTATTTTTTGTTAAGAGGTCGATAGAAAATGCCATACTACTGTGCACTAAGGCAGGCACATTCCATTTAAGTGGTGATCAGAGAAAACAAGCACTTATTAGGTGCAAAAAACTCAAAATTATATGCAAGTTTTTTTATAGATCATAATTAGTGACTACACAGATTATGAAACATTTCAAAAGAGATTTTCCTTCAGGGAAGACAAGGAGTTATCCGTCTCAGGTTATTTCCAAACCCACAACCCAGTTTTCAATAAGGCGAATATTATCTCTTAAGCCATGCGCTTCTAAGCCTTTTATTCACAGATGCTGAGAATAACACTACAAGGTTTTAAACGATCAGTAGTCCATCAAATAAGTATGAACAAACAAG